CAATCTAGAGTGCCATGGCTGTGTTAAAAACACTAATTTTTGATCAAGGGGCCTTGGAAAAATAGATTTGATTTTCCAATGTGTTTTGTACCTTCTCCTGGCCTGTTAAAAGATGCCCAAATCGTATTTTTAATCATATCGCAATTTTTTCAAACGGAACAAGAGGAAATCATGTTTTTACGAATAATTTGCACTACACACTTGGTATTTTGAGCCAAATTGTCGTTATGAACCGCATTTTACAATTTCAAATAAACCATATACAAAAGTGTCAAAAGTTGACATATTATGATATGTAATAATTCTATTCAGAGAAATTTCTATTCTATCGAATGAAGTAAAACAATACAGAGGGTGTTATTTAAAAATGAAAAGTTGTAGTAATTTCCGGTGAAACAGGAAGTGACCGAAAACAATTGAATAGTACGTCAATCAGTCCTAATTTATGTCATATAGCAATATACCAAATCTCGTTTTTTAATCTGAAAAAATAAAAAAAGTTGTAGGGGTGAGCCACTTTTGAGAAACACCCGGTAGATAGTACGGGTATATTAAATTTATTGAAACTAAAATCCAGAATAAAATACAGTATACAGTACCTGGTTCTGAGAATTTAAACAATTTTTTTATTATTCAAAAATTAACAGTAAATAAAAATTGCTTTTCTCTTATCGAGATCTACCAGCTTTGAATATATGTGCACTTATTTAAGACTCACCCTATATAGATAAAGATAATTTTGCATTTTTATTAATAAATAAATTTTGTAATAATGTTTACATGAATATAATAACTAAGCTTGATGATTCTTTATCAGGTATTGTTACATATAGACTATTGCTAATCAAAATAAATTACTTTATTACGACATTTGAACAAAAAGTGCACTTAAAGTACTACAAGTACTTACACCTAGTTACTAAAACATCAAAATATCGAGGTATTCGAGAATCTAAGTACTTTTTTCTATACCTATCTACTATAAATCGTGTCAACTAACATCAGTTTGTCCTGGTCTGTATACATCTCTGATTTCGACTGAATTTCCCAAATCATCCCTTTTGACTACTTCATTCGTGTCATTCTTCAACAGTTTTGGACCAAAAACTTCCACGAATATCGCCATAGGTGGAGCAGTGAGTACGATGGACAGTATGCAGATCATCATTACTTTTTCTGCATAAACGTATTCATCCGATTTGGTGTCGAGTACCAAACCGATCAGTACTGGAGCCAAAGCAGCCTAAAAATTAGATTTTTTTCGCAGTCAGAATTAAAAACAAGCATTTCATAATATGCAAAGCAAGCAACTCCAATTTAGTTTTTAGCTTTCTTTTTTTTACTATCTACGATTTTTTTCTTAATGATTTTGATGATAATGCCAGTGGTTTATTAATTTGTGGGCGTAAAGCTTGATTTTCATGCATCCGTTATCCGACAAGTTCGGAAGATCCGTTATCGTTAAGATGATACGATATTAATTTTACTGGTTGAATTTAAAGACTTCGATTAGTTAAAAAATTACGCAGTTTTTAAATTTATTGCATTTTCATGTCTTCGTTCATCGGATATACGATTTGCTGATGATTGGTGTCATTTTATATTTTCATTTCCATAAGGATTTCGCTGTTTTACTTGTAGTCTAAGAGCTAGCAACTTTTTCGAGGATGAACTTTAAGAAAGCTGGTTTTTTAATATATCTTTTGCTATGCTCCTGAGCAGAGTGCGTATCGTCTGGCTGCCGGTAGACGTTGCGTTCCCTACTGTGCATCTTATCTGTATTGAACATCTATTCACTATTGCGCATCACAAATTCGCCCTGTATTTCTGGAACTAAGGAGGTTAGGACAAACATAAGTGTAGCATATTTAGTTTCATAAATAAGGAGCAAAGTAATGTCAAATCGCATCATTGTATCTCTTCTCATAAACGAGACATTCCATAAAACACACGAAATTTTTATGACCAATCCTTTTTAGAATAAAATGTATTAATGTTTTTTTTATGATTATGAAAAAACACATTTTGATATTTTGATTCTGAAGCTAGTAAAAAACAAATATTAAAATGAATTTACCTGAACAGTGGCTTTCGTAGACATGGCTACTGCACAAAATAATTTTTCCTTATAGTTCATAGCAGATCCGTAATCCAAAATGATTGTTACTATTACCCTTATAAATAATGCAGCCAATAATATTCCAGAACCTGTGAAAAATAAGCAGACCATAATGCCAATTGAGGAATAGAAAAATCTTTTGTCTGTCGCTTTTTTAAACTTACCTATAAGCATGACATTCCCATCCAACTGAGTAATCCTGACCTGAGCACCGGTTATAGCGAACAAAACAGGTTCGAATATGAACCAGAGGATTCTGAAGCTAATAGCTACAG